AAGTTCACAGCTGGGAACACTCTACGGAGCAGTTCTACTTCGTATACACAGGTTGCCATGAATCGGAATCGACTCCATGGCAACTAACAGCAACAACCTCACTGCCCTTCCGGGGCTGTAGTGAGGTGCCTGGCACCTAGCACACACAGTATTGATCCTGTACAAAATAGGCCTTGGGGCAAAGTACTGGAAATTGTTATAAAAAGAAGAGTGGAAGGGAGAAACAACAACAGCAACTCCAGGTATATTAAAGAGTTACATCTACAAAACTGTAAACTTTAAAAAAAAAAAAAAAAACTAGAAGGGAAGAAATGCAGTTGTGTACTTAACTTTTCTTGGGATGGGAAAAGACTTTCTAAGCATGAAAACCCTGAAGGAGAGCCAAAGAAAGGTCAGTAGCATTGGCTCTAAAAATGTTTGAGCTGCTCTGTGTTAAACATCATAAATACAATTCAAAGGCAAATGGCAAATGAGAAAAGTATTTGGAACAAGTGTGATAGACAGAGGACACTAATCTTACATTAACATACCACAGAACAATGGACAAATGACACGAACAGAGAGTTCGCCACAGAAGAAATGCAAACAGCAAATCAAACCAAACCAGACCCACTACCAAGGAGTTGATTCCGACAGTGACCCCATAGTACAGAGCAGAACTGCCTCATAGGGTTTCCAAGGCTGTAAATCTTTATGGAAGCTGACTGCTGTGTCTTTCTCCCACAGAGCAGCTGTGGGGTTGAACCGCAGACCTTTGGGTTAACAGCCAAATACTTTAACCACTGGGCCGCCAGAGCTCCTCAAAACAGCAAATAGACATGTGAAAATATGTTTAACTGGTACTAAATGCTAGTAATCAAAGCACTCGAAGTTAGAATAATGAGTTGCCATCCTGCCCCTAAATTTTTTTTCATGATGTCAGTTGATAGCACTCAGTGCTGTAGTGTGGTCAGAAGACAGGTACTGTCGTGTGTTCCTGATGGAAGTATAGGTCACTGTAGCCTTCTTATCCTAGCAAGAGATTCTGAAACGGTGCCTGAGAGCTACTTGCAGTAGCTGGTTTTTTTTTTTTTTTTTTCTTTTCCTTTTTTTACAATAATCGTGGTGAATTGATAAAATCTCAGCCTCCAGCAGTGGGCTCCTGGGTGCTGTGCCCATAGCTCCATTTCCATGCCTGACGTGTAGGGGTAGTCAGAAAATATTTGTGGGTGTAAAGATGGAAGAATATATTCATACGAAGGATTATTACATAACCTTATTTTTGAAATACTGTATACATAAAGATGTAGAAAAATGCTTATAATGTTAAAAATTCAAAGCATATGATTGTGTGTGTAGATGTTCCGTGTGTGTGTGTGTGTTGAATGGACTCTAAATGGAAGGATTAAAGGTGACTTTTAAAAATATTTTCTTGGTCCTTCAGCCACTCAGCACATATTTATTGGTATGTATCATGGCATTGAGTATACTTTTGAAGAGCAAGATAGCATAGTCCTTGCCCCTGTGGTACTCATAAGAGGAGGAAGGCAGCGTTGAACAAGTGATTACATCATTTACTTTATTGGCCAATTATGACTTTTATATTCCACAAAGAAAAACTGTGGTGATGATGATATTAAAGTTTCTCATTTCTCAAATACTTTTTTAGCACAAAATCAAAAAGAAACCAAACCCATTGCCACTTCTTTTCCAACTCCGGACACCCTATAGGAAAGAGTAGAACTGCCCCATAGAGTTTCCAAGGCTGTAAATCTCTACAGAAGCAGACTGCCTCATCTTTCTCCTGAGGAGCAATGGGTGGGTTTGAATCACTGACTATTGGGTTAGCAGCTGAATGCTTTAACCACCTATGCCACTAGAGCTCATCTTTTTAGGATAAGAAAGAGACATGACCAATACCAATAGATCTCATATAATGTGCATTCTCCTTTCAGTAAAAAGAAATATGTTTAGATTTCTTGTCTATCGGGTGGTTAGTAACAATAAATAAACCCAGAGTTTTGTTTTCTTCTAAACAGCATTTTTCTGAAGGAAACTGAGTAGGGAACTAGCTTGGGGAGGTGGAAGTGGGAAGTATGGGACTTTTGGAAGCCCCAGCACTCCTTGAAAAACACAGTTCAGTGTTCCCATGAACAACGGTAGTTGGGGAAGGAATGAGAGTGTTGATCAGCATTAATATAAAAATAGATATTTTTTGCTTTCTCTGTCTACTTGTGAGGTTTCCAGTGCATGAAAAACTAAGACCATCAGCCATACACCTTACCCTGTAGATCGTGACCCTAAAAGCTTCTTTCAGCAGGGATCGGAGATGGAAAATTTTATCCTCAGCTGTGGTTTTTGTGGTGTGTTTTGTTTTGAGGACAGTCCTGAGTAGATCAGAGGAGTTACAGAGACGTGTTTGAGTAACATAGCCGTGCTTAATGGCCGTGCGTGCGCTCCTCTAAAAAGCCCCTCCCGGGCTTCCACTGTTGCTCACCCGTTTACCAACTTGAAACTTCACGCACTGCCTCGTGAGCTCCTCTGGCCCTTATCTGCTTCCTGAGCGTAAAAAGTCTCCATGCAGCTTGGGTGAGTTTAAGGGTGGCACTGTGGTCTGTTGCCACTCTGGTCTCACAGAGAGAAGGAAGCTTTTGTGAGTTCTGTTGCTGTGGTAGGATTCCTCGTCCTCTTTCTAGCCCAGCTCCATCTGCAAATGAGGAATGCACTCTCTAAGCCAAGGGTGCTGGAAGGCATAAATAACAGGCAGCGCCGGAACGGCTTCAGCTCTCACAGTGGGTGCACTGTGTCGCTGTCTCCCCCGCGGGCTGATTAGTTTCCCCCCAGTGAAGACTCGCCCTCTTCTGCTGTCTGGGATAGCTCATGGTTATGTTAGGAGTAGTGTGTTCAGAACCCACACGAGGCGTTCTTCGAATTTGAATTTGAAAAATTCAGGTCTCAGGAACGTGAAGTGAAATGTGGATCTGTGGAACATCACTGTCAGGGCTGATATTTCTCACTTGCATTTGAAATTCTCTTTGATTTGCTTCATTTTTCCAGAAGTTACAGTGCCCACTTCTTCCCTTCTTTGGCTGTAGCACCCCTGCACCCTGACCAATAATGTATTTAATGTCTGAAAGATCTTCATCTTCAAATTGTCCTTACAGTGAGGGTAGCATCTGCTTTCCTCTGTTTCACTCTCCTGCCCTACTGGTGTCTGTGATCTGGAGACCAAAGCCCCGTGGCACCCTCAGGTTGTGTATGGAGAGGGTAGCAGAAGTTCTTCTACTTCTAGCTATGGGCAACTTTGATTTGACTACTGACTTTCTAGCCTAAGTCAAGTGGCCTTGGGCCTCTCCAATCTCATGATGACACACTCCTTTCTCATACCTTTTCTCCAGTGGGACACACATCTCCTCTCTCTGACACCTTTCAGGAAGCACCCTTTTGCTTTCCTGAGATGGAGCTGGGCCACCAGAGGATAGGGTCACCTGTTGCTCCCTGATTGGCTGAGAGTCAGAGGCAAATGTTATGTTTATTACTTATTACTGAAGAGAAAAGGTGGCAGACACACAATTAAAATCAGTCACTGAAAGCTGTTTCAAACATAACTTCTATCTTCTGCCTGTAAACATTGTGACTGTGCTTGACAAAGTTGCTGTCAGGGGTTGAGGCCTGGCATTTTGGCTGTTTATGCAAGTTCATTATTGTTTTGGTTTTGAGTTTCCTGGGGGAAATTGTTGTAAACAGTTAAGTTCTCAGAAGCACCTCTACAGTAATAAACATAAACACGGTATTGCTCTGAAAATCAGCCCTGCAATGACCCACAGTAACCGCTTGCGTCAGAAGTGAAGCAGATTAGTGGGTGGGCCCATGAATTCTGCCCAGAGTGGAGGTGAGGAAATCTGGAAAGCTTGGCTCTGTCCTGGTCTCGACTCTTGACCGCACTCTCTGTTGCTGTGAAAGAGGAGTAACACCACCTGTTGGGTGCTTTGCAGGCTGCTGTGAAGATTCAGAACACTATTGGCCATCACTTGACTTTGAGCTCTCTGGATGAAACCAAAAACCAAACAGAACTCCTTGTTGAGTTGATTCCAACTCATAATGACCATACAGGACAGAGTAGAATTGCCCCATCAGATATTCCAGGCTGCAACGTTTACAGAAGCAGACTGCCGCATCTTTCTCCCATAGCGTAGCTGGTGGGTTTGAATCACCGACCTCTAGGTTAGCAGCCAAGTGCTTTAGCCACTGTGCCACCAGGGCTCCTCTGGAAGAAGGGGTCAGCATAAAGACAAGGCATTGCAATCCTGACTTTACAGGAGTTGTGATCCATCCTCCAAAGCTTAAGCAGCCAGTCACAGTTTGGCAACACTGTTCTAGTCAAACCAGAACTTCCTTCTTTGAGAAAAATCTTACTGTTCTGCAAAGAGACAGGAATGTGTCTGCAGAGAACCAAAGCACTGGCGAGAAGAGCTGCGGTGAACTTTGCCGTAGGCACTGATCAGTGAATTTTAGTGCAAAAAGGTGAAGCAGGACTTAAGCACACTGTGTTGTGTTTCAAAGCCCATTTTCCCACACTGAAGATGTCAAAAGGCCTGGCACAGACTGAGGCAGACAGAGGATACTTGTATCGATGACATTTAATTTCTTTACAGGTCAGAACGGGCTTTTCTGCATTTTGGATGCTGATAATAATACCTCACATCTGTATCTTACTATCTGCCCATCTATGAGTGATGTACACATTATATCAATATGTATCATAGCAACACGTCGTATAATCGCAGTTACTCACAAGAATGCTACATGGCTGGTACTTTCATCATCTCCGTTTTACAAATGTGTGAATTTGAGATATAGAGAGGTGAACTATCTTGCCCAAAGTCAAACAGCTGCTAAGTGACAGAGCCACTGCAGCCCGGGTGAGGAGTAGGGGTTTCTGTTTCTTTGACCACTGTCAGATTTTATTCCATCTGGATGAGACAAGCAAAAAAGTCAATGTGACAAATGCTGTTTTCTAGGAAGAGAATGGAGACTACACGTATGTGGAAAGAGTGAAGATACCCTTGGATCATGGGACCTTGTTAATCATGGAAGGCGCTACCCAAGCTGACTGGCAGGTCAGACATGCAAGTAATGGCCTCTATAGAGGCCGTTTCCTAACTGACTTAGGATTATGGATTTATATAGTAAACATGGAAAAAGCAGGACATTTATAAAGAGGCAGTAAAGTCACTTTGTTTCCAGGAGTTTTGATCCTGCTGACAACCAAAATCGATCTCTACAGCAGTGCTGTCTACTAGAACTTTCTGAGATGATGCAACTGGCCTGTCTGTGCTGCCCAGTACAAGTACAGTAAGTCCCATGCAGTAGCCACTAGCCACCTGTGATCACTGAGCTCTTGAAATGTGCCTAGTGCGCTGAGGAACTAAATTTCACATTTTACTTAATTTTAATTGTTTTACATATTTAAATAGGCTCAAGTGGCCAGTGGCTACTATATAGGACTTTGGCAAGGCCATTTTTAAAAAAAATTTTATTGTGATTTGGGTGAAAGTTTACAGAGCAGATTCACTTTCCATACAGCAGCTCACATACACTTTGTCTCATGACATTGACTGTGATCTCCCACAATGCAACAGCTCTCCTCCCACTTCCTCCCCATAGCCACCTCTACCCTGTGTCCTTGCCTCCCACACACTCCTGCCCCCCCCCCCCCCCCCCCGAGCTGTCTCCCTGTGCTACACAGCCCTTCTATTCTCCCATGATTGTTCTCTCCAGGGAGTGTATCTAGCCAATGTAAATGTTTGGCTCATATGCCTGTCTTTTGTTTGGCTGGAAGCCACAGAAATAGGTTTAATTCCAGACCTGAAGGGCAGCTAGGGGCCATAGTCTCAGGGGTTCCATCAGGCTCTATCAGACCAGCAAACTTGATACCTTTTTTTTTTTTTTTTTTTTAAATGATTTTGAGTTTTGTTCCATATTGTTCTCCCACTCTATCCAGGGTCTTCTATACAGACCCCCCTGAGTGGTTGACAGTGGTAGCTGGGCACCATCTGGCTCTTCTGGTCTCATGGTCGTATAGGCTGAGGATCACATGGTGTACCAGTCACTTTGACTGATTATTTCCATGTGTCTTTGCTTTTCTTCATTCTTTGCTGTGGATGAGGAGAAACTGATTGTTGGATCTAGATGGGTGTCTGTAAATTTTTAAGATCCCAATCGCTACTCAAGGCCATTTTTAAGGTGTGCGCTCTAATGTAAGAAAAGTTACCATGAGAGTGGAATCACATGCCTCCAACTTGGTCTCAGCTGTTTATGTGTGTGTTTTTCTTTTTTAATGAGATTTGGGAAAATGGCAAGAGTATGGGATGAAGAGCAGCAATAAGGAAAAGTAAAAATATCTCACTGCGAGTCTGTTGACGTCACAGTGGGGGTGGGGCAGGAGTCTGTCAGATGGGGAGGCTTTAAAGAGCTCATCATTGGTCATTTTAGAGGAAATAAAATACAAACATATCTCTGTCCTCACAAATATGTTGTAAATTGCTTTGAACCAAATGTTGTGTATATTTGTGTCAGTTATTTCTGTGTTTCCATTTAGCATCGAGTTCCCAAAGAGTACCACTCTAGAGAACCAAGAGTAAACCTGACCTTTCGGACAGTTTATCCAGACCCCAGAGAGGCACACTGGTGATGTGAGACCCCAGAGAGAGAGGCTGTGCTGAGAGCGAACACAGCTTCCCCCTCAAAGAGCTTCAAGGGGGAAGCTGAACCAGCTGGTGGCGTGTGTGTTTGGAAGATGGCCATTGGAAAGATGAAGATGGGATTTGTTTCCCAGCTCAGAGTCCTATTAAGTGGCAGCCAGCAGTTCATGTTGATAATATGTTTACCATGGGGATGGCAATCCCTAATCACATCTCGAAATCGCATGTTATCTTTAGGCAAATTAAAAACCTCTGTGGTCATGCTCGCGGATGATTTTGTCCATGAGCAGTTTTGCTCCTGCCCTCCCCCCTTCATCTGAATGGACTGTATCTCTGGGGAAAATCTGCACGTGTTTGTTCCCTGTGACTTCAGTGAAGTGGAGATATAAATATGCGTAAGCAGCTCTGGAGCCTTCCATGGCAGACAGCTGCTGAAAGCCAAACAGAGGTGTTTTCACAGAGCTTTGTTGAAGTCTGCCTTGACTCTTTAGCACCTCGACTTTTGCACTGTTGTCATGGAAAACTGCGTATTCAGGGAGCACTCCCTGTTTAACCGAGAATCTTTGCTTGTCAGTATTTCTGAGCCGCACTTGAACAGGTCACAGGCCTCTGAACAGAGAATGGAGGTGGGAGCCTCCGGTCTAGCATCTTCAAGCAGTCGTCTGGATGACCTGTAATCTGCGAGAACACTGCCCCTCCGAAAGGGAGGACTCATTGGGTGATGTCATGGGAAGTAAGAGGCTGAAATTTAGGCTGAAGAGCAATAAATGCCCCACCAGTGACAGCTGTTCCACATAGATTAGCTTCCCCTAGAGAATTGCTTGAGTCATTTGAACCCAAGCCAGATGGAGTGGGAGAAGTCCTGCAGGGGACAGACTCTGTTACCTAATAGTCCTCTTCCACCTTAGGTTTCAGCCCCATGACTAAGGCCTTCTTCTGACTCAGTGTTCTCTTATGCTCAAATTCCCGAGATGCAAGGGTTAGTCCATGATGTCACCCAGGTTCCCAAAACAGAACAGAGTGGCTGCCCCTTGTTGCATCATAAAAGCACATGTCTTCTTGACCTCTTGACTGAGGAGCAATGTGCCAGATTAATTCCCAAACAAGATACGGAAAACCTGAGAGAAAGATAATGAGATTAAATGGGTGAAAATAGGGCAGGTAACTTAGAGTTTAGCTAGCTGCCTTGGAGAAAATGTACAGCAGCATCTTGCTTTTCATCCTGTTTCCATCCCAGGCTGTGAGATTGATGATCCCCACGATCATGGTTAAGTGCCAAAGCAGGCAAAGCTCTTACCCAGAACTACGATGTGACGCCATGCCTGGCCTGCCTCTCTTCTCAGACAAACTATCTGGCTTCTTGCATGTAGTCATTGTTACTAACATTGTAACGTGTGTCATTCCTTTCTATAAGGACTAAATACTTTATAAAGATCTAAGCATCATTCTGAGCCTTCCTGTGAAGACTTTATCACCATAAAAATGAAATCTGTATTTCTTAGCTGTACTTCCATTAAAACAAACAAAACCTGCCCAGGATGGTACAGCCAACTTTGGTTGTGAGTTTGATACATGACACAGGAAAGTTTCTCTTCCATTTCTACAAAGGAAAGAGCTGGCAAATAGCTCCCAGTCACAGCATCCCACCTAATGTGGGGTCGTGGTCTCCCCTTGCTTCCCCCTGCAGATTTGATCTCCACACCCATCACTGCTGTGTCTGTCGGGGGAAGCTGACCCCCACTGTTATGCAGACAGGTTAGGCCATCACCTGAGATTCTTACTCTGAGAGCAGCAAATCTGAGGTTTTGTTTCTTGCCATCATTGTGGTCACCATACGCCAGAACTGCCACTTTTCGCCATCACTAAGATAATGCCCCGTATGAAATGGCAAGTAGGTACTTGGCATAGAGTAAAAACTACAAGGTTTTAGGAGTGGACAGGAATTCCTGAACATGGCAAAGCAGGAGGCATGTGCAGTAATTCATCATCCTGTCACTTTTACTGCTGGTGGATCTTACTAGGAATTAGGGGTGAAGCCACAGTTGTTAACGTCACTTGTAAACAGAGGAGCAAACGTAATAGCGGCAGCTGCTCAGTTTTTTAGCTTCCCTCTTGTAGAGCTTCAACAACCTGCCAGGCACTGTCCAAGGTGCTTTTTATACATAGTCCCCAGTGCTCATCTGCAACAGAGATACTTGTCCCATTGGAGGAAACTAAGTCCAGAGAGGTTAAGTAGTTTAGCAGGATTTGTAAGCGGCAGAGACAATTCAGACTGTGATCTGCTCCCTCAATCTGCATGCTTTTCCCTTTGCCATGTCGAATTTAGACGGGGTAGTTGGCGGGCGCCCTGAGGGTCCTGAGGTTCAGGACGTGCTCCTGCAGGGCTGGCACCCAGCCCACCCTGATACCCTGCTGCCACCCCTGAGCACCAGGCCACCTCTTGGCTGGCTGGCTTCCCTGTGCATCAGGGCAGGCATCTGCTCTCTCCTTCACCCACATTAGCATCTCCAGTCACAACTGTGCTGCTGGCTGGACTAGTAATTGACCAGGTAACCAAGGAAACTCATTTTTAGGGATGGAATCCACTTTCTGGTGAGTTAAGACAATTTCTCAGCCAAGCTTCCTGAGGCAAGTAGCTCAGAACTGTGTGTCCTGACCGTATCCAAACAGACATACCTGGAAATGTTCAGAGGTGGATGGATTTTTCCCTCATGGGCTCTTCCTTCCCTCATTTGTATCTGTTAGTACATTCAGGGACTCTGAATAACACCCAGATTCAGCACTAAGCTTCATGATATTTACCAACACCAGACTCTACCTGCAGGCTCCAATCAGCAGAACCCAAAGAAACAGGTCAGGGCACACACCAACAATGTCTTGACAGCATGCAAAGCATGGGTCAGGAACAATGTGACACTCGGCATTGGTGTAATTTCCACCCAGATTCTATCCCCAGCATTGAAATCAGGATCCACATTGACCCATCCTTGACTAAACCACTTACTCAGGTGGCATTGACAATTCCTCATGAGTTTGGGTCACAGCTGATAAACCTGCCATTTCTTCGTAGCACTTGCTTTCTGCTGCCCTAGTGTACCAGTAGGTATGTGTGGACCTCGTTTGGTAGCTGGCACCATCTTGGATTGTACCATGGCAACCCTGAAGAGTTAACTGGGTGCTGCCCCAAGCAGGACGTGCCAGTCGGAGGGTTTCAGCAAATGCCCTGACAAATGAGGGTCCCTGCCCTGCTGGGAATATTTCTTCCTTGAGTTCTGGCAGCTCTTACTTGGCTGTGGAGTGTCTTGGACCACTTTGCCTTTTCTGGTCATAAACACTTGTAGTGCTGAATCTGAAGTCTTGTTTATTTTTCTTCACAGTGCCTTTGAAAAAAGCCGAATATTTCCATAGTGATGCATTCTGTTTGTTTAAATCTTCACTTACACGGGTTCCACCCACATGCCTCTCTTCAAAGCCACCTAGTGTGCAATTGCCCCTTCCTCCTTTCCGGTTCTCTTTGGAAGGAACCTCATTGTGAGACCCCTGTGACACTGTGCTCCTGGAATCTATCTATGCCTGGAGTCCTGTGTCTGGGGAAATGACTGTGACACCTGCTTATTAGAATGGCACACAGACTAACGATACCTTTCAAAGCTGCCTCAGTGCTGTGCCGGAGTATAAAAGCCTTCCCCAGTTAGCCAGCAGAGCCCTGCGTGTGGGCTGGACTGTTTTTCAATGTTAAAGCTGCAGTGGGGGTGTCAGCAGTGTAGGAAAACAGGAGAGATGAGGCAGTGCCTTTGTAGTCAGCACTACCGCAAAGGTGGTTTTCTCAAATGAGTCACGTGTATATGTGACATTGGCAGTACAGGTGCTCCTATGGTATCACTGCCCCTCACTGTAAAGGAGATGCCATGCCCCCTCTGCCCCAGGGACAGCCCCTGTTCTCATGCGGCCTGCAGGAGTGTGCACTTGTCCTCATTCTTCAGGCGGGCCCTGTCTTATGACCCCTGACTTTACCTCAACACAGATTCTAGGTTTCTTGAAAGGGACCAAAAGGTGAAAAATTGGGAAGGCAGCTCTAGTGTTGACAAGTGTGTTGACTCAGCTGGGACTGTCACATCTGTCATCTCATTTATTCCTAAAAGCAAACACATGAAGCGGGGTACCCAGAGGATAGAACTGAGTGCTTGTCTCCCAGGGTGGGCTGGGAGAGCCCTGAGTGGTTAGTCTTGTCGGGGCCCATTCAGTGTAGTCTCTGGAGCTGCCTCCCCTCCCCTGCAGCGTGTCCCCTGAAACCGGGAAAGGCTGCATTTTATTGGCCCCTTCACATGGCAGCAGCCGGCAGACTCTTGTCCTTGCCTGGGAGCCTGGGCAGAAGCTTGCCAGGGGGCGGGAAGCAGGAGGAAGTGGTGGGCTCCCAAGGGCCGCGTGATCAAGTTGCAATTAGCCACCCACTGCAGGAAGGGTGTGGGCGAGCGGGATGTGGCAAGCGCCTGCCAGGCGCCCGTGCTTGTGATTATCCCGATGCCCCGGTGAACAGCACGGGAGCTTGGAGCCATGCAGCCTCCTGGGCTGACTCTGGCCCAACCTGTCCTGTGGCAGTTAATAGCTGAGACCCAAGGGCTGCTGTGCCCTCCAAGACGCCGCAGCAGGCAGGCACCCCACTCCCTTGCCTGGGCTCTGCACAATGCAAACTGTCTGTAAGCTACCTTCCCTGGGCCTCTGTCAGGACCCCAGCTTGTGCCACTAGCTCTTGTTACCTTTACTCAGAGAGGGGACCAACTGGGAAGGGAATCCACACCCTCAAAGAGTGAGTCCAAAACTGTTTGTGGGAGGGGTGGATGAAGGATGCCATGGGAGGCTTTGCAGACTTAGGACCAGGGATATGCAAATCCTGGGACCACCCAGGTGTGACTCGGGAGCCAGGGTGAATAGGGGAGCCCGACACAACTGTCTCCCTTTGTGTCCTCATTGGTTAGAGAATACTTTCCTG